CGAAAGATCGAGCACCTAAAAAAGTCGCAGGAATTGAAAGTTCGTGGTTGAACCGGAAACTTGAATTTGGTCGACGAAGAGAAGGTCTACCAGATGCAAAATATTACAAAACAATCAGTGGAGAAGGACCACAATTGTTTGCTGTTAAATCGGATCAATCCGTATGGTATCATGATGCAAATCAATGGCATAGATATAAAACGGCGGCTGATGTAAAATATGGTCAAATACATTCTCCAGATCTGAATCCTAGACGTGGAACTTTTACATCAACAACTGATGAAGATGATGATGATGATGAACCACATTTTGGTGAAGAAGAAGGATTAAATTAATTTCGAGAACAATGTTACAGAATATAACTGACTTTCTCTACTTTATTTTTACTCAGAAAATAAAATATTTTGTTTATTGAAATCTGTTTTCTTTTCTTCACAAAAATCACTGATAAGATTAATTCATTTGACCCATTTCGAATTTTTCAGAACATAGCTATAACAGATTAATTTTCATGTGGATTTGTCTTCCGAAAAATGCACTCATTGATCTTTTCAGTATGTGCTGAGAGTTTTTCTTCTTTCTCTTGTTTGTATCTTTATAGGAGTGGATGTATTTCATGTCGAACTGAATAATTATTCATGCTTATTTTTCTCTTTCTTCTATATACTGCACAGTAAGAACAAAATAACGCACCGGAATTTCAATTTCTCTGATCCCAAGCTCGAAGACAAGGAAGGAACTGCAAGCATCGCCCAAAGATACACTGGGTGTGGGTGTGTGTTGGTGTGGATGTGAGCGTGGGGGTGGGTGTGAAAAGGAAGAACAACACTCACACCCATCCACATCTACACCCACACCTACACAATACCTCAGACCCACACCCACACTCACACTCACACCCACACCCACCCTCAAGAACAACTTGTAATAGAATGGTTTTTATTTAATGATAAATTTGATGTCAGTTAGCTAATTCAACCATAGGGCGTATTTTTATTGCAGTAACATTCGTTATAGGATTGGTACAAAATTGAAATTGATCTTTATATGTTTCATAGATATAATTTGCTTTTTGCCCATATATTTCGATTAAATTTTGATCTTTTAAAGCTATATAAATTTTCATCATGGAATTATAACATGTAAAAAGTGTTCCCGCATAACGTCGACAAATATTTCGATTTAATTCAAATATATATGCTGTATAAAATTCATCCCTTTGTGTTTCATAAATATCAATAATTTTTCATAACAGTTTAGTGCTTGCCGAGCACCATTCTCATTCTGTCTACAAAATAATAATGCCATTTGTTTGTAACACATAGCAATTTGTTCGTCATCTCGTGCATGATTTTCCAAAAGAAATGGTAAAAGTTCATTCCGAAAAACTGCTATTGCTTTACTTAACTGTTTAGTATTTAAATAATTTTTAGCTTTTTCTTTATAGTCAAAGACGCGTTGTTGAAGATCTGCAATACGGTCTAGATTTGTCGAGTAACAATTCGTATTAATTTGACTCTTGAAATACAGACGTTGTGATTCTAATGTGCCACCGGCAAGTTTTAATTGAGTGAGATCATTCGAGACAATTGCTAAATGAGAGAAATAGTTAAGACGATTGTTTTGAATGAAAAGAATTAGTTTTGAATATAATTCTATTGCTTGTTGTTTGTGATCTGCAGCGAATTGTCGACATTTTGTAATGATTATCTAGATATGTTCTTGAACAGTTACATCTTGATATGTTGCTAGAAATTCAATTTGTTTTTGATAAATATTCATCATTTGTTCCAGATCGATATTCATTAACTGATAGATTCTAATTATTTCATCATAATTCTTCAATGTGTTCGATACAAACGAATCTAAGCTATAGTTCCTATTTACATTTGTGTAATATTCTTCTAGAAAATGAATCATTTCATAATATAAATTGATTGCTGCATCGAAATTCTTTACCATCAAATATTTATTAATAATTTTACTTTCTAAGATATCAAAAATGAAACTAATTAAATCAGTTTCGATAAAACTATCGGCCGAATGATGTTGACATACAAAATCTAATAAAAGTTCATATGCCATAACTGAATATTCCCTCGACTGAAAGGAGGGTCATACAAAAAAAAATAGTTTGTGTGTGTGTTTGTGTCAGGGTCAAAAGAACATTTATGAGAGGTTAGCTTATTTTAGGGCCTTTCCAAGCTTTGATGAAACTTTGCTATAGGTTATCGATGGCCCTGAATCCGAATCCGAAGCCCATTTTCTTGGCCGAGACTTCATTGGTCAAAAACGGACCAATCAGAAATGAGCTTTTTTATTTTAAGACTTTTGGCCATTTTGATCGAACTTTGCTATAGGTTATACAAGGCACTGAATCCGAATAC